GGGGGGGGGGGCTTGGTGCAAAGGGTGACGTCAGGGGGTTACTCCCAAGATTCTGGGTACTAGATACAACGGGAAAATAAGAGATTCTCTATACGATTCGCGATACGAATTACAATGGCTACGACCACTCTATCGAGAATGCTCTTGGGAGACCAATGCGAATTCGAAATTCGGCGATAACATTTTTTTCTCACCTCCCGCTTTAACGCTCTCCATCATTCCCGGTGTATTTCGTCTAATTGGAACGGACTGTATATATAAATCCGTAAAATTCGTCATTGTGATGTATGACGATAAAACGTATGAAATTTCGAAAGTTGTGTACGCTGTCAAAATTAATGGCTCGAGTCAATATTGGGAGGTAAATAAGAAATTTCTATGGGGATCTCATTCTAATATCTATAATGCGATCAACCCGTGAAAGTCCTTTGAGACTATGCCAGGGATGTCTCCTGATTCCATCACCCTCCCACTGTCCCAAGAAAGAGGAAGTAGCGCAGGCTGACGAACTAGGGTGTTGAAAAATTAAAAAACCTAGCCCTACTACTGTGAAAGGTAAAGTAACCATTGACAGGGCGTGCTAGTTCCTTTCTGGAGTTTCATTCAGCCAGTAGAGCACGTCCTCAAAGTCCTGACGAAGGAAGGAGAAATAAGCCAACAAACTCACCTTCGATATACCTTTCTTACCTTCGATGCCTTAAGAGGATCGATCGAAAGCACGACGGGGGAAATGAAAAAATATTTAATTTCCCCCACTAGACAAGGAATTTCCGTCGGGTTTAACGATACCCTGTATATACCTTCCACTCAAGAGAATTCCTCGTAAGATCACCGAAAGCCGATCATAGAAACCACCCCTAGGATTCCAGCAGCATCTCGACCGATGCCTCTCTTACATTTCTCTCCCTCTCGTCTTTATTATCGTACCTCCCGCTTTGCTCATTTCTTTTTTCTCTATTTTTCTCATACTTCCTCACTATTATAGCAGACCAAGCCCCATTCCCTGGAAAGCCACGAAATATCCAAGAAAAACACGTTTCCAAGGGGGGCGAATCGATAGCAACAATGCCGTGGCAAAAGCGAGGCCTCTCCTTGCCAAGGATGAGGATGAGGAGGACGAGGAGTAGATGGTTAAGACGGGGAGGAGGCGGAGGATGGGTAAAGAAGAAGTAGGAGAGCGAGGAGGGGGGTTGGGTTTCAGGAGAACCGAGACGTTAGATGGTAGAGCGAGAGCTTTCTGGGTTGGAGGGGTGGAAATGCCGGAATGGGGCAGCCTTATTGGAACCCAGGGGGTTGGGCCTTGAGTTTTCCTAAGGGCTGAACACGAGAGAAGTGCCAGCCAGGGGGTAGCTTGATGGAACGAGGCCGCTACAACGTTGGCAACAGCCAGATGGCTAAAGGTTGCATTACCTATGGGCCACCGAAAGCCACTGGCATTCTCTTGCATTAATACACCGGCTGAACCGTGGCCAATCGACCTGGCCTCGCCACTCATGTACCCGGTGTACATTATATATCCACCTTATGTACTTTAGTCATATACGTGGTATCCTACTTCGACCGATTCCCGATCGTCATTGCCCTACTAATGTTCACTTACCTGTCATATCGACTCATATATTTTTAGTACTCCTGAGGTACAGAAAAGTTTTTTTTTTAATCTTTGCTTTCATTTGTCCGTCGACCTTTCTTTTGGGTGATATATATTTTTCGTATTCCTAGAGCTGGTGGTCACTTCCTGAGGAAAATTTTGGACTTCCGGTTAATATAGAGAAAAGTTCTCGAACTCCACCGTCACTTCGATTCCATGATTGAGCTGCTAGTTGCTATGGGATTTGGACAGCCATATTTCACGTAATATATGATCGATGTGTGAATTGGTGTAGTAGGGGAAAAACTATATTAGAATTTGAATTAATTTCGTTGATTTTGCATAGAGCGTTGGGATACATTTGATTGGAGTGATATAATTCATTCATAATATAGGTTGAGATATTAGGTATAAAGTTGAAAACATGTATAGCATTTGGATTTCATATATTTTCGAATCTGCTTGGTGTGCATTTTAAATATAATAACATTAATACAATAATAATTAATAATACTATCATTAATAATAACGTACATATGTATTTAACCTTAAGAGGTTTGCGCTATGTTACAAAGATTATTTACAAAATCAAATTTTCCTTTTTTTTTCGCGTATCCGTGTATTTCTCTGCTTCTTTAGGCTTTTTTGTATTCACGTCATACAGGGTACGTACGTGTAACGTGCTATGCTTTGTTACTTTTTTTTTCTCAATTTAACGGACTTTCATTTTCTTTCTTTCTCTCACTTTCTACTTTCGCGACATTTATCAAGTGTTTCAGCAAACATTTCATATAAGCACACCTTAAGGCCTATATGGATACTATTGTACTACTCCACGATTGTATTTTTTTTTCAACCATGATTTCACAGCTACTTTATTATACAAGAAGATACTTTATGTAATTATACACGAAGCTAGCTCTACACGGTCAGACACGAAAAGTATTATCATCTAACTGACTGAAGATGACAAATAATATATAACGTGATTTTCATCAGTGATCAATGAAATTGACATGAATCGTTGAAGAAATGACGAAATCCCATGTCACATGAAAATTTTCTTGACAGAACTATTCCATAGGACGAATGAAAACTATCTGATCGATTTTATCGAAAATCATACCGAAAACGGTGATGTCAATAAACTTCTACCTACGCTGATAAGAGTTGTAAATGCATAAAATATTCTTCGGAGATCGACTCCAAAAATCTGAATAATTCGGTACGTCATAGCGACAAGAATGTCAGTACAGACTAATAAGAAATTAATTTTTGAACTGCATCCTCGCCTGTGAAATTATCGGTAATAATTAATCAGTCGAACTACGAGGACCCTCTATCCACGATACACATATTCAAAGAAACCCATCCTTCCACCCCCCATCGAATCACTTAAATATACCATTACTTGTCACTTATAATTATTCAGTTAAATGCACGTAGTCCAAGTGACTATCGAACAGATGAATAACGAATGATCCGGATACAGCAGCCATCCTAAATCCGGCTGCAGTTCAATAAATTCGCAAAAGATGACCTACATAAGAACGAACTCAGGAATTGTTCGGGCTGAATCCTGTCGGTATCGAAATTTCGGACGAGATGACATTGCCAGGTAAAACACTGGGTCCGGATGGCAGTACCAAAGGTGTTGGTACGACCGACGGTCTTAGTCTCTCGGTGAGAGCCAGCATCACCTGGCAGTGCAGATGCTGAATAGTAGCCAAAAGGTTAAGGTTGGTATCAATGAGACCAGCAGCTGGTGAGAACCTCTCTCTCTCGATAATTTCAATTTCCGGCGTGATCACAACTGGTTGCGGTTGTTGCTGCGACTGCTGCTGCGTCTGTTGCTGCTGCTCGAGTTCAGATTTAAGCGAGGCCTTGTTCTTCTCAGCGAGGATTCGCTGCTGATGTTTCAGGTACAGGGTCGTTATGGGAAGACTGTAGTCTATGGGAGTGTTCTTGGGGTCTATACTAGGACTCCAGGGTCTGGGCAATGGAGTCGAAGGCTGCGGAGACGGTGTTCGTCCTTCGGGTAGCATCCTCCTCCTCTTGGATGACGCTGAGCTACGTGAGCTTGCTCTGTCGGATTCCGGCGTTCTCCTAGACTCGGTCAGGTTGTCGGTACTGGATGCGAAGGTGCTGCTGGGCTCTTTCTTCAGTATATTGCTGATACTCAGTGGATTGTATTTCTCCTCCTTCTCAATCTTTTCCGGCGCTGGCGCCGCAGCCACCGGGGTCGGCACCACAGACTTCTGATGCTTCGGATGCCTGTAGTTGAAGAGAGTCTTACTCTCTGGAGCATGACTTGCCTCACGTGGTTTCGGACTGTTCTGAACAGGCGACGCGGACAATGCGGTACCAGGCGTTGGACTCAGAGGGGTTGACGTGGATGACGCCGCCGCGCTTTGTGACTGATTCGAGAGGTTGGTAGGACTGGGCGTCCTGGGACGTCGCTGGCACTCGGTGCAACCCAACAGGAACCGCGTCACAGCTTCTCTGGGTAGAAACGCGTACGTCTCCGTAATCTGTAACAATAAGATAAATAAAACATTAGCTACCCCAATTTATTAGCATTCGTCAACCATAATAAATGATAGGCTCCTCTTAGACCCATAATATTGTGTCCTCGTCTAATCATCAAAGTGTATGGTGCTTAACTAACTTCCATCGGTTGGATCATTATCATTGGTACACGACGGCAACATGTTCCGCGTTTAATTCAAGGGGTTCCCGTTCAGGCTCCAAAGGAACTTTGATGTCTTTGAGAGAAGGTATTTTGTCAGAGGCATGTTCTCTGCCTCTTAATAGGAAACATTTCTCTGAGCGGAGGGCAGAAGGGTGGCATAACTTAATCAAGGATGAGAGCCCGGATCTGGGAGACGCAAAGGTTCCCCAGTTTTAGGTATAGGTATATGTATGCCGTCTCACAGACGGTACACGTATATGTAACGCACAAGTAATAGGGTGGTCTCTATATAAGGTGGGGATAATTCGATAAGATTTACTTAGGGGTTGACTACGAAGGTAGGTAAAACGAAGAACTCAATCGGATACGAGTCTAAGAAGATCTCAGTCGAGATGACGTATATGATTCAGAATTTCGTATTTTCGTTAATTTTACCTATTTCGGGATAAGAAGATTTTTCCTCTAAAGAAAAAGTATTCTCATCTATTTTTTTTTACAATCACCTTGTATACAAGGGATGATTTTTATTTTTGGAATTTATTTACACTGGAACGCGTATCCCTTCCTTATCAGTTGGTAAAGTACCAATAAAAAATATCGACAAGATTGCTTATAGCTACTATTGATACAGTATACGTCATCTCGCGCAGCATCTCTCGCCCTGGAGAGTGATCAGGTAAGAGTGTCCAATCTTAACACAGTCGCGCCGATACATTTAAATGCAGGTTCATAAAAATTAAAGAATCGTAAATCCAATCCCTGCCTTCTATTTTGAATCCAAATTGTGTCCCCATTCTTCCGCTTTTTCCACGTCTCTCTAGCTTTGTTAATGGCATCAAGAGAAACGCGTAAATTCTCATCCCGACGAATCGTACCGTGTAACGTCAACTTAACGTAAAACAGTTTCACCGTCGTCTATTCGAGTGTGTGTGAAAGCAGGCAATGCAACAAGTGTCCTGAGGTTTTGAATCACAAGCAGATCGCGGCGAGCGAAAGAGGGTGAGTGAGGTGGAGAGAGAAAGAGAGAGGGAGAGAGAGAGAGAGAGAGAGAGAGAGAGAGAGAGAGAGAGAGAGAGAGAGAGAGAAGAATGAGACGGAGCAAGAGAGTATAGGGGATGATAGAAGAGAGAGAATTGTGGGAGGGAGAGGGGATATAGATAGGAGGGGGAGGGGAAGAAAGGAAAGAGGGAGCGAAGGGGGGATGGAGAAAGCAGGAGAAGAGGGATGATAACGGAGAAAGCTTTATGCCGATAAAACAGAGAGGGTGAGATTGGTTGGAGAAGGTAGAGAGAAAGGGAGAACGAGAAAGAAGGAGAGAGAAAGAAGGAATGATAGGACGAAGATTAAAGTGGGTGAATAAGAAGGATATAGAAAGAGAGAATGTGCACCGGAACATGTGAGATGACGTGTGGTATAGAGTGTTCGATGCATGAATGCCTCCATGGGTTCTCCCTAGGGATAAGACTGGTTTCTGTGAATAAGTAAATATCGCGTGTCACCCGATATAGAGAGGAACTCTTTGAATTTCTTTGGGTTTTGTTAAAGTAGGTATATGAGACTATTTGTGAATATCGATATTTATATCTGTGAAATTTATTGGTTTTGACTTACCGTTCGATAAGTGCGTTTTTGGCCGGCGTGTTTTCCTGGACGACCCTCCAGATCGACGTGAACCGCATGTATGATGTCGAAGAAGTTCTCTACGATGGCCACTTTTTTGTATACCCTTCCTGGAGATACGGTACCCTCGGCGCCATTTAATGCCTGAAATTATATGACAAGGGTATGATTAATTTCGTGAAATTACTTTCGTTGAGTTACGTGTAATTATTAATTATGCTTGTTAACCGTATACAGCCTGACAAGTATAGTGTCAGCTTTAAAGCTGGATTAAACAATAGGAATTGTCACACTGGGAATTTAAAGAAACGATGGCTTACGAGATTCAGGTCGTATTCTTTAGGACATCCTACGGGGGGTGCAGCAACTCGAAATTTTGGGGATGACGTATGAATTTACCGACGTTGGGAATTATGGTATTTTAGCTACGATTTACTATCTTATCGACGTTCGCTCTTATATCAATACAGTACGTATCTACTGTCGGTACAGTAGATTCCTCAGAACGCGATATCACCGGAGTACAATAAACAGTCTTGGATGAACTTCACGTTTCGTTCACGTTGTGAAAAATCTAAGATAGTCAAAATACAGGTAGTCTAATTAGCAGGAATATATTGGTATTATGACACTTACGTCTTTCTGATCATATAGATGAATTAAGAACAAGAATTGTATAATATCGATCAAAACATCAGAAAACTTTAATTTTAGCGGTAGTAGTAAAAAAAAACTTGTTATGTCTCAAAAGTTCTGTTTCCTAAACATTCTTTTTAAGTGTGATTGTAACCTCACTTATCATTTCGTCAACTGTGCTAAGTCGTTACCTGATAAAATGATGGAAATTGTATAACGTCCAAGAATCATCATTTATTTTCATTTCGCAGAAATAGTAAGGAAATGCATTATCCTTCTCAAATGATAAGCACGCGTACACTAACGACAGCATAGCAGGATCAAAAGCGTCGGCCGTAAATCGGCCAGCAAAAATGACACTGCGGTCAGAAGACTCGCGAATAGCCGTGGTCAGATTGTTCCGTGTAACTTTACGACTTTAAGAAGTTCAGCGCGCATGCGCGACATTATTGTATTTCCCTAAACACCTGTTGAAGGGTGGAGTTGAACTCGTGGGGCTTACGGCTGGGTTAAGGGGTTGTGGTCAGGCAGGCTAACAACGCTGATATCTAGATGGCCACTATTTAAAGCCAGTGATACGCGTCAGAGCTGGCTACCGCCTGGGAAAATCGAAAACCCGACAAGAATCAAAAATACAAAAACTATCCCAAAGAAAAATCCCATTCGCCCGTATCCCTGACTCAGCGAATTAAAAAAAAAATCTTTGCGACACCGTAAACATTATAAAACCATAATTCCAAAAAAAAAGGAAATATGCCGCCAATTCCCCGGTAACCGCGTTAACCCAGTAAAAATAAATATTTAAAAGCTGTTCAAAGCCTGAACACATTAAACGAGTGAGTATCTCAAGAGATCATACATATACCGTAAAACCTTGAACTGGTTATCCTAGCGACTCAAAGCCAGATCTGTGCGAACGAACAAGGTGTCAACCAGAAGCAGTCTAAAGTCATCCTTTGACGTGAACGGCCCAAGAAATGATGAACCACCGATGTCAGGCACGTACGTAACGTACAATATGTACATAGAGGCAGGAGTGCGTGTTCACGGAGTGCTATATAGGATGTTTCACAGCTGAATGCTCGAGGCGTGTGTTCGGCATCCTGTCGCCTACCGGCCGGCTGTTGGTCGGTTGGCAGCAGCAGCAGCAGCAGCAGCAGCTAGTACGCCATCCAGGCAGTCAGGCAGGCAAGCGACCAGGGTCAACTCACGCAACGTAACGCTACGCGTATCATGGTTTAATGAGCGTGTGGCGAATAGAGGAGGTTGCGAGGCAAATCCAATACGTAAGCACGCGCATACACGGGGTGTAGGAATACAGAGACGATACGGGATACGAGGTCGCCTCGAGCCTAACCCATGTGTAACCTCGATGCTGCCGACGGGGGTCCCGAATAGAGGATCCGACATGGTGGGGATACTCGAGTAGAAGGGAACGACGAGTCGGTATAGGCTCGTGTATAGCGTACGCGTGGCGGATTCCGAGGCAGAGGAGGTAGCCAAGTGTGTGAGACCATGCGTAACCGCAGAGTATACCAGGTGTCCCGAATCGAGGTTTCCTTTTTTTTTTAGATCTGATATATAGAGGCACACGACCTTTACATAGTGACTTTTAAATGTGGAAGTAAGCGTCGCGACGCCTCTGAAAATCCGGTTGCTTGACCAGGCGGCTCTTTGATGTCTAATTCGGTTACCCGTAGCTCATTAATCCTTGATGTATGGTATACATAGGTGGGCGTTGACAAAGACGGAATATGATGTCTGCGAAGGAATGTAATCTGAAGATTGCAAGTATATTGAATATACGTGTTATCGGGTATCGGTAGGTTTCTTGCGGTTTTTATACAGTGCGATGAGATTGTGGAGTTTTAAAGAGTGCCATACAGGACGGTAGACTCTATAGAAGTTCCATACGAATGGCTTTCATTTATCTCTATAGGGCGATCGGTGAATCGAATCGTGGCCTATCGCTCACTTCAGATAAAAGCAGGATAGTTCTCAAAGGGAATATTAAACGTCGAAGGCTAGGTAGGGTGTAGAACGCGTGCTGATGATGCCAGGACCCCAGTGCCTATTACTATACGTAGAGTATAGTGTGCAGCAGGGGTGGTCGAGGGTGTCCTCGTTCGATATAATAAAATCAATGCCCTCTACCTTTTCTCCCTGAACCCTCCCCCCCCCCTGAAACCACCTTCTCACCCTACACCCTTTTAAATACCAACCGCGTTCTCATCGACCCTCGACAAAATTGCAATTCCGCGAAGCGACGCCAGGAATAAAAGGGTTCTTTGCGCAGGGTCCTCATAACGCAAGTCGTGAATCCTTTGTAAATTCTACCCAGGCACGCAGGAGTTGGATAATAATCAAAATTAGCTAGCTGCATCAGGGAAAGAAAAAAAAAAAAAAAAAAAAAAAAAAAAAAAAAAAAAAAAAAAAAAAAAAAAAAAAAAAAAAAAAAAAAAAAGACGAAGCTGCCTTCTAATTAGGATATACATATCGAATTTGTCATCCACTTGGATTTAGACCCTCTTATGTGTGTCACCTATGTATCAGCAGAGCTTAGACAACCTCAAAGGTCAATTCTAAAGTTCAAAGAGGAAATCGAGTATATTTATATGAGAAACCTCGACGAAGGATTATTCGTGGACAAATGGGACACAGCCTCCGACTTGAGGTCCGTGTGCTCATCTCCTTGTCTGTTTACTCCGCCCGTCAAGCCTTCTGTCTTGATGCTTCGCACACACAGAAGATAACCCTCTTGGAAATTGTACCACCAGGAGCAGCAGAAGGGTACCTTTTAAGAGAGTGGTCCAGAGGCCAGTTACTGACAGTCAGTTATATTGGGTATATGCCACGTGAAGTTGACCCTTTACATAGGGTAGTTAGATGGAGGATCTATGTACACTGGGTAGGTGCCTGTGACCAGACGGTAAAGACAGTTTCAGGATTTCTCGATAAAGTTGAGACATTTACTGTCTCCAATAGTTTTGGACCAAGTTGACCAGTCAGCCACTTGCCACTGACTTCTAAGCGAATAGGAATGATCCTTGGCAACGAGAAGGTACCTTGCAGAAGAAGACGTGGTTTCTAGACTTGACGAAGCGAAACGAGAGTAGGATGGCACGTAGATATACGTATATGTATATACGTATATACTGGATGAGGTAGGACCGGATAGGAGAGAACGGAAGAGAATCCCGCTCGTGGTACAACGTGGAGAAAGGTAGGGCACACTGGGAAACCAGGGAGCATCAGCGGCGACGGCTGTTTGCAAAGTTGGAATTTGGAATGGAAATGTGTCGGTCTGCCATTACCCTTACAGGGTGGCGCTGGAGGGTTGACGCGAGGGTGTGTAGCTGGTAGGTTGGCCCCAGACTACATCCACGTATATATATGTACATAGGCGAAGAGTGGTGGGTGTACGAAATTGGCGGTGCAGGAAATCCCAGGTATAGCGGGTGTTTTAAAACCCTGCGGATTGTGGGTTTGCATTTTAAACGAAGGTCCGGAGAGAGAGAGAGGGAGAGAGAGAGAGAGAGAGAGAGAGAGAGAGAGAGAGAAAAAAAAGCAGAGCCACAGAGCGGCGCAGACTACTGTGAATCGAATTTGAAAAAAAATTCACTGGAGAGTTACGGGGCACAGTGTACCTATTGGAACGTGTGAATCTACTCAGGGTGAGTGAGAGGGCTCGTGCCTACCGGGTGGCCGGGATTAACGCGTCCTGATTGTTAGAGAAGACACGATTCCCCATCTTCCTCTGCCTAGAAGATTCCGAAGCTTCACGACCATAAACTCCTTAGGACCGTTTCTGAGGTTGCTTTGGAAGTGGCCCGTAGCCGACACTCGGTGAGTCGGCATCTGTGCCTCAAACAAACGAGCAGATGGGCCAGCTGGGTTTGGGCCCTCTCGCTCTTGCCATGAAAAACAAGAGACGCCGAAGTGTTAATACAAACAGTATCAACCGTATCGTACCATTTTTCAAGTTTTGGTTGTCAGGATGCGAACTGCCGATAGAGCAGGAGGCGACTCTATCGACAGCAGAGGACACGATTGGCACTGGCAGCCTAGATTTGTTTTTCAGAGTGCTTTCTTCTGGACAGCGAGAAGAGAGAGGCGTGTGATTGGGTTAGCTTTGGTTTGTTGGAACGGAACGAAGCCAGTCCGGGGCCACCCAGTAGCCATTTAGATAAACGAGGGGCCCCTGTTGAGTGCTGCGGGATGCCAGACAGGGCGAAATAGATAGATAGGTCTGAAGGAAGGGGAGACTTTGGTAGACAGTACACTCCTGACTTGGATAAGGAGACTCCCAGTCAGACGTGCATATATATATATATATATATACCCCAGTACATAATGTATCGCCTAGCACATACAGATACAAAAGTGAGAATAAAGAGGCAAAGGGGAAGGTAGCGTATAATACTGTGTACCAGAGTGTTTGGTCCTTGGATGACAGAACAAAGAAGCTCAAAGGCGTGCCGGATGATCCGTGACCGATGGATTTATTT